TGATACATTAACAAAAAAATCCAACTTGTGGAGTTAATCTACTGTGTATTCTTGAATTCCCTTGAATTCTCTTGAAATAATTCCCCTGAAACTGTGCTGTGAACTTTCTTAGCTTTCTACTAATCCTTGGTTTTAGTCAGGCTGAAAGTGCCATGAAAACAGAGGAAGACTATACATATTTTCTTGGTTCTCACTCCAGGCAAAACAAGGAGGTAGAAAGTGAATACAGAAATGTTAACCTAACTTTGTTAAAAATCAAAATTGATGTGCATTTTAATGTAGAGTTTTTCTTATCTGTTTTTCAGCTTTAAAATATTTTGGTGTCTTTTCAACCATTCAGAATGTCAGTTTTAAAGACATATTGGTATTGTTATTCAGTGAAAACTGTGATTTGAGTATATTCACTCTTTGGGTGCTTTAGAATTCCCCAGGTGCAGATTGCAAGCATGTTTAAGTTGAAATGCAAATATTTTCCAAAGCTGTAATTTATGTAGTAGGTGTCTGGTGACTCTGAGTTACTGGATACAGTTTGGGTTGGAACAAAGCCTAGAAGCTGTATTTTGGTTGTGCTAGCATATTGCAATGGTGGAGGAAAACAAGGAAGGAAGGAACAAAGATCTCAACAAATCTGTCAATGTTGTGATCTCTACTAATCTGCTTTCTTTAGAAGTATCTCAGAGTACTGATCCCTGGTTATGCACAAGTGCTTTACAATATAGTGCTACAGAGGGAAGCAATATTACAATATAAATCATTCATTTATTTTATATGCTGTATATATACTGCTCGCCTCAGTCACTGAGGTGAGCAGCTCCAGTACTGGCAGGATCTCAGCAGAGCCATGGTGCATGGGGTGGGAGTCCTGAATCGGGGGAACTTCAGGGGGAGCCAAGAGACCCTACAGGAGCGCGCAGCTTGCGCAACAGTGGCTGATGGGACCTGGGTGGGGCCAAGCCCCCACCACCCACCCCCCCAGAAAGAAACCCCTGGGGAACGCTAGCGACCAGGCCGGGCAAACAGGTTGTGGTGCAGCAGTTTTCACACTGGAAGGGCACTGTAGCTCTGCTGGCTTGACTGGGGAGTAACAGTACCCACCTGGCAGAAGGCCGTGTCTTCTCTAAACTCTTCACCTGCCACAACTGACACAGCTTCCCTGACAGAGCTCCAATGGGAACATGCTGCCACCCATGTGTCAGGCTGCAGGGTGTGCTCACTATGCAGACTGGACCCTCTTCTTAGGGAAGTCTGCTGCCTCCCTGGGTCCTGGGTTAAAGATGTGAAGAGAAAACTTCCTACCCTAGTATAGCCTTCAGATTCTTATCCATTATTGATTTTTCAGGTAGGCAGTAATGAAGGTGCTACAAGAAGTCCAAGGGCAACCAAGAGATACTTCAGAGCCTTGGGATGAGTGGTTAAGGGATCAGGAACACAAGTAGTGTTTTCCTCTGTCCTTCCAGTTGCAGGGAATGATGAGGAAAGAAACAGGAAGGCCCAGCAGATCAGTACCTGGCTCTGAGCCTGGTGTCACCAGCAGAACTTTGAGGTTTTTAATCATGAGTCTGTCTACAGGACACCAGGCTTGCTGGTGACAGATAGGGTACGTGTCTTAAACAGGGAAAAGAAACTTTGTACAGGACTTAGCAGGGCTCATGGAAAGAGTTTTAAACTAGATTTGAAGAAGGAAAGGGATAAAACCAGACCTTGGGTATGCATCGCGATGTTTGAGGGACAGTGTGTTAGCCAGGTCCTACAGTCTGCTCCACGATGTGCTGAGTACACTGGAGCACATTTGAAATGTCTCTATACTAATGCGAACAGCATGAGAAATAAACAAGAGGAGCTAGAAGGTTTGGCCCAGTCCCAGAGCTACAACATCATTGACATAAGCAAAACCTAGTGGGATGAGTCCTGTGACTGGAGTGTCATGAAGGACAGTTATAGGATCTTCAGGAGGGATAGGCAGGGCAGGTGTGGTGGGTGGGTGGCAGTGTATGTAAGTGAAGGGTTGTATTGTATGGCTCTTACAGTTGACGATGACGTGGTTGAGAGCCTCTGGGTAAGGATGAAGGGGAAAGCAAATAAAGCGTATCTTGTTGTGGGAGCCTGCTGTCGACCACCCAGCCAAGATGATGACATGGATGAATTAGTCTACAAGGAATTAAGGGATATCTCTAGGTCAGTTGCACTTGTCCTTATGGGTGATTTTAACTTCCCAGACATCAACTGGGAATGTCATACAGTGCACACAGCAGTTCTAGGAAATTTCTGAAGCATGTTGAAGATAACCTCTTGGTGCAGATAGCCAACTAGGAAAGGTGGCCTCCCAGATTTGTTGTTTGTAAACAGAAGGGGACTTGTGGGTGAAGTGGTGATTGGTGGCTGTCTTGGAAGTCACCAGGAAGTAGTTGAGTTTCAAATGTTGGTGCTAGGAGAAAAACTGCCAGCAAAACTTCAATCCTGGATATGGGGAGAGCAGAATTTGGGCTGCTTACATCTACTTAGTAAGGTCCCCTGGGAATCTGCTTTTGAAGGTATTGGGGTCCTTGAATGCTGGTCACTGTTTAGGAGCCTTCTTTTAAGAGCACAGGAGCAGGCAATTCCAAAGTGTTTGAAGTCAAGAAAGTCGGGCAGAAAACTAGCTTGGCTGAGCAGGGGTCTTCTAGAACATAGGTGGAAAAGGAAGGTGTATGGACATTGGAAGCAAGGACAGGTGACACGGGAGGACTACAGACATGCTGTTCACTATGGTAGGCAGAAAATTAGTGTGGCCAAAGCTCGATTAGAGTTCAAGCTGTCCAGTACTGTGAAGGACAACAAAAATGACTTTTTAAAATATTTAATAGCAAAAAGAGAATTGGAGATAGTGTTGGGCTGTTGCTTGATGAGGTTGGTCTCCTCACAAATAGGGACATAGACAAAATGGAGACATTTAATGCCTTCTTCACCTCTGTCTTCAACACCAATGATGGGCCATAGGAACCCCAGAACCCTGTGTCAGAAGACTGTGACTGGGGGGATGATAAACTCCCAGCTGGCCCTGAACTTGTCTGAGACTTGCTGCTCCAGCTGGATGCACATAAATCTATGGGGCCCAATGGGATTCATCTGAGAGTACTGAAAGAGCTGGTCGATGTCATCATGGGGTCTCTCACCATTATTTTTCAAAGGTCTTGGGAGTCTGGAGAGGTCCCAGATGACTGGTAGCTGGCAAATGTTGTCCCAGTTTTCGAGAAGGGTAAGAAGGAAGACCCTGGTAATTACAGGCCTGTCAGTCTCATTTCAGTGCCTGGTACAATGATGGAGAAAGTTATTTTGGGAGTTACTGAAAAACGCTTGAGAGACAGCCAGCAGGGGTTCATGAGGGGAAAGTCCTGCCTAACGAACTTAATTTCTTTATGACATGGTCACCCATAGCTAACCAGGGGAAGTCAGTAGATATGGTGGTTTGGGATTTTAGCAGAGCTTTTGATACTGTCTCTCACAGTATCCTTCTGGGTAAACTGCCCAGCACATAGCTAGACAAGTTGAAAATACATTGGATGAGCAATTGTTTGACAGGTTGTGCTCAAAGGGTTATAGTAAGTAGGGTTACATCAGGCTGGTGGCCAGTCACCAGTGGGGTTCCCCAGGGCTGAATTTTAGGGCCAATACTCTTTAATGTTTTTATAAATGATCTGGACACAGGAATCAAATGTACATTAAATTTGCCAATGATACTAAACTAGGAGTAACTGTGGACTCCCTTGGGGGTAGAGAGGCCTTGTAGAGAGATCTGGATAGACTAGAGAGCTGGGCAGTCACCAAGTGTATGAAATTTAACAAGAGCAAGTGCTGGATTCTCCACCCGGGAAGGGGTAATCCTGGTTATCCACACAAATTGGGGGAAGAGAGGCTGGACAGCAGCCCCACAGAAAGAGGTCTGGGGGTTTTGGTTGATTGCAAGTGGAATGTAAGTTAACAGCATGCCCTGGCAGTCAAAAGGGCCAACTGTGTCCTGGAGTGCATCAAGCACAGCATAGCTAGTTGGTCAAGGGAGGTGATTATCCCACTCTACACTGCACTGGTGCAGCCCTACCTTAAGCAGTTTAGGACGCCTCAATATAAGGACATCGTATTATTAGAGTGTGTGCAGAAGATGGTGACCAAGATGGTGAAAGGCCTTGAGGGCAAGACTTATGAGGAGCAGCTGAGGTAATTTGGTTTGTTTAGCTTAGAGAAGAGAAGGCAAGGGATGACCTCATCGCAACCTACAACTTCCTCAAGGCAGGCAGCAGAGGGGGAGGTGCTGATCTACACTCTCTGGCGAGCAGCAATAGGACACATGGAAATGGAATGAAGCTGTGTCAGGGGAAGTTCAGATTGGACATTAGGAAAAGGTTCTTCACTGAGAGGGTGGCCAGTCACTGGAAGGGGTTCCACAGGGAGCACCAAACCTTACAGAGTTCGAGGACCATCTGACCGATGCTCTTAGTCATATAATTTAGTTTTAGATAGTCCTGCAAGGAGTAGGGGGTTGGACTTGATGATCCTTATGGGTCCCTTCCAAGTTGAGATATTCTGTGATTCTATTTTGAATAGAATAGGAAAGTTGACATTACACTTTCTGGTTTTAAATTCTGTTTCATGATCTAGGAAGGTTTCATATACTTGTTAGTTTTAGGAATGGTATGCTTGTAGCCTCTCGCCAACCTTATTTTAAAAAAATTTAAGTTTTAGAAAGAAACAAAATAATAAGAATATTGCATTTTCCTTATCATATACTATCGGAATGGAGTTTAAACCGTCCTTTTATTCATGCAATTCACATTCAGCAACAGATTATATCTGCCTTTTATGTACTAGCTGGCGTATGCGTGTAAAAAGTGAACAGATTAGGCACAATCCTTTTTGTTCCATCTTTCATCTCAACAAGCTTATTTGTGTTAGTCACAGGAATAAATTAGATGTGCAAACTGTAGTCTGTCTTTTAATGAAATAACCTGATATTTTGTTCCTTATAGGAAATAGTTCTGGTTGTGTTTTTTGGTGCTGAATATGTGGTCCGATTGTGGTCTGCAGGCTGCAGGAGTAAATATGTTGGCTTCCAGGGAAGAATACGGTTTGCCAGAAAGCCAATATCAATTATCGGTAAGATTTACACTTTTTTTTTTTTTTCTTTTTCTTAACTTTACTATTGTCATCTGTTTTAAGGTAAAGTTGTCAACTACTGCAGAGATCATATTCCAATTCTGAGCTATGTCTAACACTCAAGCATTTATCTGCTTTATGAACCTATGCAATTATTTCTTCTTTTGGATTGCTAGAAATGAATGTTCAAAATATGGCTGCGAGACACAGGCAGACATCAGCTTAAGAAAGGCAAAACTGTAAAGTGAAGAAATCTTTACTAAATCTACTTGTGTAATTGGAGAAAATTGTCAAGATTTTGAACACAAAATCCTTCCTTAGGTCTGCTGTAGAAAGCAAACACAAAGGTGAGTATAAATTGGGAAAAACATGGAAATGTGTAAAGTATAACTCAGGAAAAATTCCCACAGACAGTACTAAAGTTAGGCAGTTTTAGATGGTTTGAAGGACTATTGCGAGTAGCTTCCCTGGAGTAGGAGACAGTTAAGGAGTAGAAGTGACTAACAGAACCTGTGGAACAGTGAGGTATTAATAAAAGGTGATATTTGGACAAAATTGTAGTAGACCATAAAATCAGTGTTTCTGTTTTAAGCCTGTGATTTTATATAGACTCCAGTAGAGCTGCAAATTTTAAACTACTCAAACATCAACTCACTGATTTTTAAATATAGCAAAATGGTATAGGTGAAAAGGAGACAGAACAAGCTGATGCTTCCTTAACCATCTGTGACTTCATGAAACTTGGTGCAAAAACTCAGAAAACAACGTATTCTATTAGATATCTAGATGTGGGTAGTGAATAATGTGATGATGTACTGTACTCAGTTTCTCAATCACTTAAGAAAGAAGTGTTTCATTACATACGAACAGATTCTTCATCTGCTTCTAGAGCTGACCTAATTTCATAATCTAACCATGAAGCCTATAGGTAAAGTTTTTTTCCTAAGCATGTTCTTGACTTCTCTTTAAATTAAGAGTCCTTCTTAAGTAGGTATATTAGAGTACAGAGGTGCAGGAGAAAATACGTCAGTCCCATTAAACTGTGATTTCAACTTGATAGTGGTTCTGTATACCGGTATTGTGCATCTACCACAGTAAACGTTAATGTTTGTGTAGCCTTTGGAGAAAACACAGTGGTTTGTGTTAAGGAAAGCTAAGAATGACTACAGCTGGTTGTGCATTCAAAGGTATCAGTACTGCTTTTACATTTAAAATTCCCCTAACAATACAATACATTTAAAGTCAAGATTTGTTTTTACATATCAAATAGAGATGGAACTGTGTCTACGCTAATCCAGATAGCTGAACTTGGGAAATACATTTTCTGTGAGTGATAGAATCATCATTTTCAAATCAAGAAGAATAAAATATGAACACTAGAAATAGAAATTATAGCATTAGAACAGAGTGTAAAAACTAAGGTATTAATTTTGCTTTTGCATTAATACAGAAGTCTTCATTTTAAGATCAGAAAATATCATTGAAATGTCTTTGCTATCAGAGAGATTTCTTTTATGGGTTTCTGTCCACACTAAAATTTGGGTTAATTCTTAGAAAGTTCAACTTGGGTAGCCATTTTGAACTTCTTTGATTTTTCCCATTCTCTTTCCTTTTTTCCTCTCTCTAATTGTAAATAAAAATTATTTACCAGAAAGAAATTTAGTAGTCAAGCCTAGTTCTTACTGTTTTTTATAAACTTGTCATGTTAACATGCAACTTCTGTAACTGGGGAGGGAAAATGTTAAGATAGTACACACTATTTCTTGAATGCTATTTTAAAATGTTGTCTAAAATGGAAAATGATGTAACTTCTCCACCTTGTAAATAAAAATTTTTAGTTTCTTAGGTAGATTTTCTAAAGTTAGCCTAATTCTTCTCCTCTTTGCAGATAGATTATCACAGAATCATAGAATCACGGAATGGCAGGGGTTGGAAGGGACCTCTGGAGATCATCTAGTCCAACCCCCCTGCTAAAGCAGGTTCAGCTAAAGCAGGTTGCACAGGATCGTGTCCAGGCAGGTTTTGAATATCTCCAGCGAAGGAGACTCCACAACGTCCCTGGGCAGCCTATTCCAGTGCTCTGTCACCCTTAATGGAAAGGTGTTCTCATGTTGAGACAGAACTTCCTGTGCTCCAGTTTGTGCCCTTGTCCTGTCACTGGGCACCACTGAGAAGAGCCTGGCCCCATCTTCTTGACACCCACCCTTTAGATATTTATAAGCATTGATAAGGTTCCCTCTCAGTCTTCTCTTCTCCAGGCTAAAGAGCCCCAGGTCTCTCAGTCTTTCCTCATAAGAGAGATGCTCCAGTCCCCTCATCATATTCATAGCCCTCCACTGGACCCTCTCTGGTAGTTCCCTGTCTCTCTTGAACTGGGGAGCCCAGAACTGGGCACAGTACTCCAGATGTGGCCTCACCAGGGCAGAGTAGAGGGGGAGGATAACCTCCCTTGACCTACTGGCCACACTCTTCTTCACGCACCCCAGGATATCATTGGCCTTCCTGGCCACAAGGGCACATTGCTGGCTCATGGTCAACTTGTTGTCCACCAGAACTCTGAGGTCCTCCTCAGAGCTGCTCTCCTGCAGGTCGACCCCCAGCCTGCGCTGATGCATGGGGTTATTCCTCCCCAAGTGCAGGACCCTACACTTGCCCTTATTGAATCTCATTAGGTTCCTCTCTGCCCAGCTCTCCAGCCCGTCCAGGTCAATATACCAATCATTGTAGGTGGTTACACATAAGTCAGAAAAGACAATTCTATAATTAAAGAACCTATCAGGGGACGTAGATTGAACTCATCTCCAGCATACCAAGAATCCCTAGAAAAATCTTCTTCATTCCATTGTTTACAGAATAAGCATGTTTAAAGAGTGTGTGGTGCTCATGTACTATGGCAGCAGCTGTCATAGTGATACCTTTCCTAAAAATTGATTTAACACTTCCATTACTTACTATTTTAGTAGGGTTAGATTAGGAGCTACCTGCTTCTGAAAATCTCAGCCTAATTAGGGTTTTATAAAAGGCAGGTACCATACACTGGCAAAATCAAGAGAATTTCATTTCACAACCTCTTCTATTCTTTTGTTGTTCTTGCAGAAAATGTCACAGAGAACCAATTTATGAATTAACTTTTGTTTCTCCTGGTTTTGACAGCATGCAATTTGAAAGACGTAAGGGGGACGTAAGTTACTGGTCTAAAGATCTGAGCCCACATATGTGTGTCCATCTCATATTGTCCTTAAGTAAAGGACAATAGAACTTTATCAGCACCTTTAATTGGTTATGTATACAGCTATGAAAAAGCATCAGCACCTGGTATATAAAGCTCCAGTTACTTTGTATAGACCTAATTTATGAAGTGCCATCAGAACACAAAATTTCAGCAAAAGAATGTGATGTAAATCAAATTCAAATATGTCCATATAATCTGTTTAATTTAAATTGTTATGGATGTCATATTACCTCCAGACTACTACTACAGCAGCAAGCTGAGAGCTATTTACATTCTGTAAAATACTGTGGCAACTAAAAATTAAAATCCAAATGCAAATATTTTTACTGCTTTAAATGTTAAAAGGATTAATTGCTTTTAATCAAAAAGATGAGAAATGCGTACTAGAAAGTAAACTTGTGAGAACATTAGAAACAAGGTAGCAATTTGCTCAAAAGCAGTACTCAGGTAAGCTGCATTATACATGTTGCTATGTGCTGTGCTGAAGTTTATGCATAACTAACTAGTATTTCGCTGGGAAGCTGATTTTTTAGATAAAAATGGCAGCTGTTTGGAATTTCTCAAGGGTCCAGAACATAAGAGTAAGCCACGGGGACAGTGGACTAGCAGTGGACAAGGTTTTCAAAGCTGTTTTCTAAACATGTTTGATGGCAGTGAATGTGATTTATGTAGGTCTGTCGTCTGCATATGTAGTGCACATATTATATAGAAGATGCTATGTCATTTTTGCCTCTCTACACCTCAAGTGTATATACAGACATGTTTGCAAACATGTAAGTAGGTAGAATGTTTGAGAAGGATAGCCACGTATCACTGTTTATAAATTACTGGAATTCAATTTTTAAAATTACCAAGGCTTCCTGACACTTTTTTTTTTTTTAAACTAGTATAAATACTAAGGTAATGCTAATCTAAATACTAATGCCTGTTAGAGTTGAAAAAGTTATTTAAACAAATATTGGCTCTTTATCCTGATATTTTTCATGCCAATTGTCTGCTTCAGTTTGAGGCTTGTGGAGACATTTCATGGAAAATGTTTAAGCTGTTCCTGAAAAGGCAATTCTGGTGATTTCTTACAGAGAAGTGCTAGCACTTCCATACTTTGAAGCAGATTCTTGAAATTTAATCAGAAAATAGCCTTTTTATTGTCACTGAAAATCAACTCCAAGCTGACTGACTAACAAGCCTCTGAAAATTTTGTAGCTTATTTATGCTTAAAATGCCCTGCTAAAGAATGCTCATATATTCTTCAATGATTCAGTCTGCATTGAGCCAGCACGATTCAAATTTCAGGTTTCTCTGAGCAGCAGTGCTGAGGCTGGAAGTAGAAAATCTGTTGATCTTATTTTTATAGTACTCTACCTGAAACTGCCCAGGGCACATGGAAAGGAAAAACACCAGGCTCGAATGCTGAGGTGAAGTGGTGGGGTAGGAGGAATGGATTGGGACACACAGGCTCAGTGAAATGACAGGAAGATGGATGCTCATGTAAGGCTTTGGGAGAAGGACGTATAAAGAGACTGATAAATGAACAGGAGACTGAAGGAAAAAAAGTTAGGGCTGAGAATACGTGGGATTGAAAGGTGTAAGTGCAGAAGGATATGCTGAAGACCTAGAGTGTAAAATAGGACTGTTTGAACCAGTAAACTGGGATTAGTATGAGAAGCCTAAAGATTGAAAACTGGCGTGAACACTAGGAACAGAGAAGAAGCAGAGATAGAACAGGTTTTGGGGGGGGAGGAGGGCAGGGAAATGAAATATTTCTATCATGAAGAACACGCTTTCAGGAAAGTGGAAAGTGGAAATGAAAAGTCTGTTGAAGTAATGAAAGCAGAAATGAAAATGTTACTGTCACTAACTGATTAAAACTCCTTTCCTAAGTGTCAGTCTTTTCCTCCTTCAGTGCTGATCATTGGATGGATATGTGTATGCCTGATAATTTAGTAAGGATATCGGGTGCATGATTTGCTTAAGGGCAAAGATCTGTATGATGGTGTAATGTGAAGAAAACCTTCCCTAAATTCTGAGTGTTTACAAATTTATGTTCACACACATACATGATAATGGGACAGCATAAAAAATTTGGAAGGTCAGAAGTTAAGGTTGTCCCAAAATGGAAGTTCTTTCTGTAGCCTTAACTTATCCCTCCCTATATTTATTTTAATTTTCATAGATGTACGATTATTGTAGTACAGTCTTCAAACTGATAGAGTGCTATCTGTCAGGGAGGAATCCTGCTTTTACAGCAAAAATCAGACCAATAATAGAAATTAGTCCAAATCAGAGAATGAAGGATACTGTTGATCGTGGGACTGCTGTAATATTTGTTGCAGCAACTACATGGTTGTGAATGAGCCAGGAGAATGTTTAAAGGAGAGGAAAAAGTTACCTTTTTTGAAAGCAACTGTTTTTGCCTCCGAAGTCGGATTCTATCCTGTATCTTGCCTAAGCATCGCATGGAAACTCTGTGGCAGTCATTTAAATCAGTTTTCACAAGTATGCCTCATTTTCTGGATGTCCAAGAGAAGACTTTGAAGTCAGGTTACAGAGGTTCTGAACTCTCACAGCTGCAAATGAAGTCAGCAGGCACTGGGTTTTTTGAAGTGCTGTATAACTTTAAGTGCTCTGAAGAATAAAGTACTGCCTGTTTAAAACTGGTGAGAAAAATTTACGAAAACTTTTCTTCATTCTGTCTCTACATTTGCTACCCATTTATAATACTATCCTTTATTTTCTGGTTAGAATTTGAAAATGAAGCATTTAGATGCTCTAAAGAGGATTACCACAGAAATGCATATGAGGAAATCAGAAAAATGTCTTCTCAGAATAATGTTAGAGTAGGGTTCAATAATTAAAAGCAATAGAACTGTTCACTGAACTAGGACAAGAGAAAATAAGGGGTGCTGGCACTGTGAACACAATCCATCATTTGCATTGTATAATGCTGGAACTGTGTAAACTGTGGAGTTCTGGAAGAAAAATGGAACTCTGGAAACAATTATTTTTTCATACAATTAAAGACTGTATCACAAAGTAAACCAACAACTGATTCTTTTTTAGGAAACCTTTGTTCTGACAGTTCTCTAAACTTTGAAAGCTTGCCTTTACATCTTTGATACAATTTTTAAAAGAAGTGTATGTGTATGTATATGCGTATGATACTTGACTTTATGCATTTCATTATTGATTGAAGCAAACCCTTACTTTCCCTCTTAAATCAAGAGCCTTGAGCCAAAATGTGGATTTATTTCTCGGGTGTACATACGGCTTTGCCTTTGTTGATTTTGTGGCAAGCTGCCTGATCTGTCAGGATCTTTAAAATTTCCATTATTAAATTCATCATGGAAGAAACTGTAGTCATTGTTTTCTTGATGTGAAACTGTTACATTAACTTACTGCCCACCAAATTTCAGCTGACTTAATTTATTTTTTTTAAGTGCTTTCCTCAGTCTGTATTTGTTGTGTGTTTCAGTGCTGAGAGCTAACATTCAATACATTCTTTCTTTTTTTTTTTTTTTTTAACAGATCTAATTGTGGTAGTAGCCTCAATTGTTGTCCTCAGCATAGGCTCTAATGGACAGGTGTTTGCCACATCTGCAATAAGGTATGTTCTAGTGACTGTAGCTCTTCACAACTGCAACTGTTATTAGATGTGTATCTAATATCCCAATTTCTGAATTAGATGTATATGTAATTTTCCTAATATAGGAAATGTTATTATACAGAAACACTGGACAGTGGAAGACTCTGTAACTGTGCTTGATCACTGGTTGGGAAACAAGAGTGCAGAAATAAGGCACGTTCTGAATGGTGGGAATGCTGAAGCCAAGAGAAAAAAAACTAAAGAAACATTATGTCCTATATAGAACATCAAACAGCTCTCTTTCTGAGACAAAAAAGTATTACAGAACATCAGTTTATTTAAGAAGTAATCCAGACCGCACTTAACTTGGTACTTTTTGAGTATGAGTAATTACTTTGTTTAAAGTGTAATTATGCTTTGGTGGATTTGTTTGGCACAAGTAACTCATACCATGCATGAACCAGAAATATTTGATGTCTACAGTGTTTGTTCAGCTTGCATTAAGTACTGCAAACTTGTTTTGGGAAGTAAAGTAAATAGAAGGAAGGAATGATAAGCAGAGTAGGTGTACTTCCCACGCCTTCTAACTTAAATTGCAAGATGTGCTGCATGTTCTATTACAAGCCTCTGATTTCCAATGCAGTCTAATCACTGGGAAGTGAGAATGTACAGTGCTGTCTAAACCGTCTAGCTGTGTAGACAAATACTGGAGGGAACAACATGTATAAAGTATTTTTAAGGTAACTATTACCATAGAACATCAATCCTGACACGATGATAAAGACTCACACAGGCAGTATGAATGTGCTTTATCAGCTCATATAGGAGAAGAGGAGGGTGAAGGTGAAAATTCCAAAGATTTTGTTTAATTTAACTAGAGATGTAGGAAGACTTTAATGAAAAGGCCCTCTGTGTGTTTATATGTGAACCCAGGTGGCTTTGGCTCAGTGCAGCCTTTTCCAGTGTTAAATTATAGAGTCACTGCCCTACAACTCAGAATGCTTTCTGCCAGAGAAGCTTCACCATGTCTCTGCAGTGTTGTTATTGCACCACTGAAAAACTACCTGGGTCAGGCAAGTCTCAGTCCCATCAAGTTTCCTCAGAACTGTGATGTGAGTGGCTGGTTTTGAATTAAGGAGGCATGAATCTCATATCCTTGCCTTTGCTTTTGTTGCTTTTAAAGTGTACTGTTGTGGTTCACTTTGGACCTCCCTTAAATCCTGGGAATCCCAGAAAACGTGGGGGGTTTAGGTTGTTTTCTTGTAGAATGTTAGGCTGTTTTCTTGTAGAATGAAGTTGGAAGCTCCAGACACACGAGGTATGACAGGCTGACATTTTGATCCCTGCAGCAACCAGTGAGACTGAAACCTAGTGGCACTGCAGAGTTCACAGCAGAATCCTGTAGCCTTCTGTCCTTACTGTTTTAAGTTCATGAAATTGGTAAAAATGTTCTTTCCAACGAATTTATTTTCTTTTTTTTTCAGAGGAAATGGGTTGTGCGTGTTCAGAGGCTGTGTATCTGGAGTTTTTTGTTTGCTCTCTTGTTTTTTAAATCTTTATTTGTAAAACTGCCAACCTATAACGTGTCGGCACTTGACTGTAACATAGCCGTAACCGTCTCTGATACAACAGAGACAGGAAAATCAAGAACTGCTGTTAGGTCAAGGCATCAAGAGGTGCGTTTAATAATTGTTCAGGGGAGCTACGTGTAGATCTCTCCCCTCCTGACGTCAGCAACCAATGCGCTGCTACATTCCAAAAGTCTGTTGGTGCTCACATATTGGTAGTCTTGTAATTCTTCTTGGTCTCACGTTTAATTAACAGGTTTTAAGTGGATATTTTGAAGCTTCCAGCTAATTAAAATCATTATTCCAATGGCATATCAAAGAAATAACAAAACATGGCGTTCATATACCCAGTCACTGATATGTGATTTGATAGTCAGGACATGCCTGATCAAATGACATTTGACCATTTGGCTGTCAGCTGTGAAAGCTCAGAAAAACCTGCTTTCTGAATAAAGGCAGAGTTGGGTCTTTCAGAAGACAGTATGCCTTCGCAGTCTGAGTAACACCAGCGACTGAAGGATGGCACTGTGCTGAATTTCCTGTCTGTTGATGTAAACCAGAAAAATGCAGCCACAGTGGAACTGAAATAAGAAGATTGGATTAAAAAAAACCCAAACAAACAACCAAAAGCAACAACAACAACAAAATTTTAAGGAGAGATAAAAAGAACTAAAAATACTTTTAGTGAAAAAATTTCAGATAGATGAATGCGACATTCATCCTGTTCTTCATTGGTTTGTTTTAGTGCTAAGATAGTAAAATGAGTGTAGGCAAACAAAGTTCATTGTTGAAAGGGTAACTACAATGAAATATTTCCATCGAATAAAATTCTGCTGAAGAACCATATGGATAATTATTTTTCTTTAGTTGAAAATATTTGGAGTTTATGATTCAGTTGTTGTCCTAAAATCACATAGGACCGTATCTATTTCCAATTAGGTAATTTATATAACTTACACAAAAAGGACTTCAGTTATACCACATTTGATTCATATTCTGCTTTTGGCAAATAGAGAAAAAGGTTTGCTCATATTTATGTTAGCAAAGGTTGAAGCACTGGTTTTGCTTGGAAAAGAAGCTTTTGAGGATCGTAAACAGGTAAAATACACAAGTTTTCTCTGAGTTTGAAAGCATATATATTAGACTTTTTGTTCGTTTTTCTTTTAACTAATTGTCCTAGTCGATGTTCTGAATATATTTGAATATAATGAAATGTGATCTAAACATACAGTCTACTGAGATGCCTCAAGTCTAAGATGCAACCCTACAACCAGGAACAATGGTATCACAGTTCTCTAATAGGGCAGTATGTTAGTGAACATAGTCAACTATGTATAGATACAGCAGTATTGTTCTCAATCATTAGTTTTATTTAATGCCCTATTTTTCTTGCAGAGGGATCCGGTTTCTCCAGATACTTCGCATGCTTCATGTAGATCGACAGGGTGGCACCTGGCGACTATTAGGATCAGTTGTTTTCATACATCGTCAGGTACTAGATCTTTAAAGATCCTCAGCATTTTGTTTACTTTAGTATATTCTTTTAATGGACTTCGAATCATAGTCTGATTTAAACAAACAGTTACTGTTGCAAGAGAAACAATACTTTAAAAGTCCATCGTGAGTTTCTTTCTACTTTTAAAATGGGAACACTATGCCTTACTTCAGGCCAGTGGCTAACAGTGTATCAGCATCAACATTTTTTTTGGAAACTGTTGTAGTCTTTGATGTTATCCTTCAATATAATTTATTAAATGCAGTTATGTGGGCTGCCTTTCATATTGAAAATACTGTCCACTGTCTTCACAGAAGGTGTGTTCCTAGCTTGGTTGTTCTGTGGAAAAACAAATACTAGTCGAAAAGCCTTGATAGAACAAGTCAATTATTTAAATCATTCTGTTTTCTCTGTCTGAATAAGGAGTATTCTAATCCATTCTATAAATAAAAAAAATTAACTACGTTGTGGTAATATGCAAGAAAAGTTCCTTTTTCAAGGGTGTAGTCACAGAGATAAACTTGGCTGCAAATAGTTACGTGTCCACTAAAGCTTTGACACACTTAATCTGCATAAAGGTTCGTTAAGCAGGAAAAGCTTTAATGTTTTAGTGCAGACTTAAAAATTTCTAGTTGAAGGCTTCTTTTTGGGGCTTTGTGGAATCTCTTGATGAAAAGACGACTTTATGACAATAATAATGAAATTCTATCATTAGCCTTTAAATCTTGCATATCATACCACAATGTAGAGGGCTAATACTGTGCTATGAATCTTTACATCAGATTCGTAAGGATGGTTCTTTAACATACTCTTTAAGAATGTAGATTTGTTCTCCAGATATTGACAAATAGTTACAGATTTCCACACAGACATAGGTTCATTTGGTATTTTGAAAACTGATGTTCTGGGGCAGAAAATGGGAGCAACTTATTCCAAAAGACGAATTTAACAATAAAAGTTAATTTTCTTCCCTTTGTTTTTTTTTCCTCCAGTACTGTAGGACATTTTATGTCACAGTGGCTGTGCAGCATTGATGCACACCAAAGTGCTCTGCTATGAAGCCTACTTTCATCCTGTACAACAGGATGTCTTCTAATGCTCCAAGTCTGTGTGGTCTTCAGTTATTATGGTTGCATTGCCTGGATATCTAGCTACGGCAAAGCTGATACTCAAATACAATTTCTCAACATTTGCTAACCTTACTGACAAAGGTGTTTGAGATAATTTTTTCTGGTGGGTGTTCAGAGTTTTAGTCAAGAATCTTGAAATACTATCTCCAAAATATAATGCTTAATTCTTAAATGTCACAGACATAAATAAGTTTAATGATTTGAAAGGAAAAAAAATACCTTTGGAGAAGTGAATTTATGAATAAATGCACCTAAAGTTCTACTAATCCAGAGAAGTGATTATGATGATATATAAAACTCTACAGATCTGTAGTACTTGTCAAAGCAGATCACTCACTAACACATTAATTAAAAAAAAAATCAAACACACAGCTCTCTATTGACATTGGACAAGTGTAGCTGAAAGCCTAGCATGGTATCAAATGGAAGGGAAAATGGAACCTTTATTCCTGTCCAGTCTCTTAGAGAAATTTTTGTTTAAAAAAATAACAAAACAAAACAACCTCAGCTGGTTTTTCTTTACAGGCAGAGTACAAAGTCCTCATTAATTTGTTGAGTTTGGTACTCTTTCAGAAAAAATGGGACCCTGAACCCTCAAACAATGTGAGAAAATAAATTCACATCTTTGGGACCTGTGAAAATAACAAGCAGTTGGACCTCTGTGGGCCCAGAAGAGCTTACAAAAGTTGTCACCAACGATTTCCATGTGTTTTGGAATTTTACATATAGCTGTATTGGCTAGGGTGCTCTTCTGTTTTCATGAGGTTGAGCTTGTACAATAATTTCTTGCCAAAAGCAACAAAACATGAGTCAATATCACATGTGGTGATGGAAAGACATGGAAATCATGCAGCTTACTAAAAAACTGAGTTAGCCAATCCAGCACCAGCTTGGAAGCATCTCAATGAGTTTTACTTATTCATCACCTTGCTTTGTGAGGTCTTATACCGCCCTGAGGAGGGAGTTACTGATGAGTCGTGTACTTGTGGTTTTCTTGTATTTTTCCTAAGTGTTGAGTTTAATATTGTAAGGTCTCATTGTAATTGAAAATATATATCTCTAAGTTAAAGAAAAGTATTAACTGAAGTCTTTCAATATTCAGATTTACCTTTGTGCATATTTGTTTTTTGTTCTTACTGTTTCATTTGCATATATGTATCTGAAAGGCCATGCTGAAAAGCGTCGTTTCTATTAGGCAGCACTCTTTATTCTTAAGCTCTTATCTATTAAAAAACCATATACATGTGAAGTTTTAAGTCCTGATTTCTGCAAAATGCTCTTTGTTTTGAGATCATGTATCAATTCATACTATTTGACATTGGTAGACACCTATCTGTCCATATTTCTTGAAGCATGAATTATTCTAAAACCTTCTGTGCTCTCAAATGCAGTATGTAATAAATTGCTGCCATTGTTCTTAATAATTAAATATAGGCATGTAGTACTTTGTCTGTATACATACGTAACATGGAGTGACATTTAGAATAAGTCTAAGAAAATTATATTTTCATCTGGGCTTTACTTAAAAAGAGTTCAGTCTTTAGATAAGTAGGACTGGAGCTGAGACGTGCCCATGGTGAAATAAACCAAGTAGCTCTGTTGATATTTCAACCACTTTGAAAGGATCTCATAAACCTGCACATAGCACTTCTGAAAAGCATATTTTTCTGCCCGCTTCTGAAAAAGCAATTGCTTAATAGAGAAGTATTCCAAATGTCATCCCCTCTCTAATTCTGTCCTCTAAGACAAAATTGAAAGAAAGCAGTGATGGCCATTCCTCAATAACATGTAAAATTTGTTAGTATCACAGATGTAAGCAACACGCCAAGTGTAACTAAAAGATTTCTGTTGATGTGGAAGGAAGTCACAAATCTACTGGAGATGAAAGCAGAGTGTTTACTTTGTAAGCAGGCAACAAGAATTAGTCTCCATTTCTGTTGTAGATTTCTATGGATCACTGAACTTACAGTCTCAGGTGCAAAACAGTTTCATCTTGCATTGAAAAACATTGTGTAGACAAACAAAAAGTTGTGGAAAATTAGACAAGTGCAAATAGTCAACTATAAATGTAACCACAAGGAACTTTTGACAACAATGAATTCGTATCTATAAGTACACAGTTTACCATTATCATTAGATAAAAGGATGAGAAGACAATGTTGACCAGCATAGAAATCTGAACTACTGAAATCCCAAGTTTTATTTCCTCTTTCAGCTGCCTTGTTTAGCAAACCATCCTGCAAAAAGTTAAGGCTTAGATTAAAAGACTTGCTCATGGCAAAACTGAATACTATCAAAATTCATTATTTAGGTCGTTATTAAATGATTAGAGGGGAAAAAACCTACTTTGCTTTGTGACAAGATTGCTTAAAAACTGGCTGAACCTAGACTTTAATTACTGCTGTAGCAGAAGGAAAGAGTATATGTATAGTTCCTACTGCTGAATGCATTTACTAGGTACCAGGGCTGTATTTTATAAGGAAATGAAAAGGAGGAAATTAAAAAAAAAAAAACAAACTGAAGGAAGTTTGATGATAAAACCTGAACCTTGCCTTACAAATGGTTTAAGAGACATGGGTAGAGTGTTACAGAAAATCTGTGAATCCAATTTACTTTACAAGTAAAAGTAATCCTTCTTAGACAGGTTTTAATTTTAAATTTACCTTATGGGAGTATTTTAATTTCTGTCTTGGTTTGGATCCAAGGAAAGAAAAATAACTCATGAGGAATTTAAGGAAGATGCCAATGAAGATGTAGTATGACACATTTCATAATAATGGTGGCTAAATACGCGCAAAGAAAATAAAGGAATAATATCTGCTAACTATTGAAGAATTGTAAACTTCAAGTAATTAAAATAAGCTATTTCCCCTCATAACTAGGCATTGGATTTTCCTGAGGGGTAGGTGAATAAGCTTTACACATTTTTGCATCTGTGACAACACACATTTTGGCTCATTTAAATGCATGAGCACATTTTTCCTGAAGACTGTAACAATCCTGTATATAAGTCATATCAGTTCTAATACAACTTTTCTATACAAAAATCTATAGAGAAATGTACATTCACAAGGACTGTATCTTGCCCTAGCAAAAGTCCCTCATAATAATCTGGCCTAGCCTCAGACAGTCTTTGTTTTTCAGGACTAATGTAGAGATTACACCTACCTAACATGTTTTATCTTAAGATTTTATTTTATCTTAACATGAAACTGTTAAGGCATCATATACAGTCTTAAGCAATCTAAATATCAGATACACAAGTTCATTGCTTAGAAATGGTCATAAGCACAAAAAATGGATGTTAATTCTTAACTGTTACTTTAGTGTACTGTTCATAAAGTGTATTTCTAAAGCTGTTTTACTATTTCAAAATGTATTAACATTTGGTGTTTTGAGTGGGCAGTTAAATGGAATTATTCCCATTCACAACACATAAAACAGGAGAGATGCCCTACATTTAGTTGTCCAAATGATCTTGTAGCAATGATGCTTCTTGAAGTCTTTAGTCTCATACAAATAAAAAAGAAGTTACTGAACTACCCATTTTACTGGAAGTGAATTTCATACCTGAAATACAGCTTACTATATTCACACTGTTTTACAATGATAGAATATATATGATGCAAACCTTATGTGCTTGTTTGCTTTCTCTTTTAATAGGAACTCATAACCACATTGTACATTGGATTCTTGGGATTAATTTTTTCATCCTATTTTGTTTATCTTGCTGAGAAGGATGCAGTTGATGAGGATGGAAAGACAGGTTTCTCCAGCTATGCTGATGCTCTTTGGTGGGGTGTGGTAAGTCTTCACCAGGAAAATACATGCACAAACTTAGTGCACAAGATTTGCTGTTGAAGTTGTGATCTTTTTAAAAAATCTGGCATTACTTTCTTTGCAGATCGTATTTCTGTAGGGAAGCTCAACAACCTTTTAAAAAGGGCACAAAAAATATAATAAATACAATTAAATTGTTTTGGTGTTAAACCTCATTGTGAAAGCGTGATAGAAAATCTTCAGCAAAGGACATTGAATGTTTACAGATACAAAAAGTCCGCATTGAATTCCACATTTCAAAAAGAGTATAAATACCCTCCAAAACCTGTACAACTTCTTTTAAACTCTACTTAGTTATCTACAAAAGGTGCATAACTTTAAAAGTATATTCTGTTTGTGGAAGTTGCATTAATGATTCTATTTTTTGGATCTTTTGGTGTAAAGCTCACTTTCTCAGTTATAATGGAGATGTTGATGCAGGTTGCAGGTTCCTGGGGTTTTTTTAATAATTCCGTGATTCACTGTAAAGGTAAATAGCCCCATCAAAGGCAGCTGGCAAAGTTCACAGATTCATCAACTACTTCGGATATCAATCATCAGTCAGGATCACTGCAAATCTTTGGTGAAATAAAGAAAAAAAAAAATCATTAAACGGGAACTGGGATTTCGAGAGCATTGTGGTAGTTATAGTGTGCATGCGTAGAATCTGTCAGAAAAGGAATGGATGAACCAAGTAAGAGACCAGATTGTTTCTACTGTCCCTTCAAATGGCTCTTCTTATCAAGTTTCTGACTGTGACTCATGCTTTCCTTCCTTATTAGCTGTTGCATGAACCATCTCTTCTCTTGTGGTCGCTTTTCCCCACTAGAGAACCTCATATGCTTTATGAGTTGGCTGTCTCATTATGACAACCCAAGGAGATCTGTCACATCAGTTTTAGTGACAGAGAAAAATGGGAGGATTAGAACAGATGCAGAGCCAACAACTTCCAGAGAGGGAAGCATATATTTCAAGAATGATTTGACATACAATAAACTGGATTTGTTCTTAGAAGATAGACTTGGAAAATGCCAATATAGTTATTGGTCCATAAACCAATTATTTATCTGCATCCAAATAAACTGGGGACCAAATCTGGGAAGGCAAACAAAAAGTTCCTCCTAGGATATATGTTTCTAATCCTTAACTTAAATGCTGCATAAGCCTCTACTTCAATGAAGTACAGATATATAGATTGTATTACATGTAGCCTGAGTTACCACTTTTTAAGTGGTTCAGTATAAAAGTCTTTTAAACATTAAATTCCTGTCATTAGGTTGTCAGCTATTCATTTCATTTGCAGAGTATCACCTATGGCTGTGCAAAACAGTACAAACCAAGAAGAATCTAGTAAAAAAGAAAAATCCACTAAATAGCCAGATGCACATGATTATCAAACGTACTGGGAAGAAATGAAACCATGAACTAGCCCATAGAACAATCACTTATTAAAGTCCTTAATAGACATATGATAAAATTTTCAGAACATAGAACCTCGTGGTTATAGACATGAGATAACATCTAGCTAGTAGAGGAAAAGAAGAAACGTCCCGGAAGCACAGATTTTGCTATATTTTAAAAGCAAAAGTGAAACAATTAGGGTGTAATTGATGTTGCGAAAGATACCCCATGTCTACTTTAAGAAAACAAACCAGTACACAGATTTGCTTTTTCTGCTATTATTTGAGCAGTTCAGCTCAAATACCAGTGTTCAAATGACTGAATGCAGTGGAACGCAGCTACTCTTTCTGTTTTTACTAGTGGTCTAGCTGAATAGTCTGTGAAGTACATCTAATTAAAAGTGAGGCTGCTTGTGGGAAGTTCAGCAGCATTAGGGGCTCCCATAAAAGTTTGCGCTAGTCCAGCTAAATCTATGAGAAATATCTCATAATTTTTTTCCAGCATTGTGGAATTCCAAAGAGGTTTGTAGTACCATGTGAATTAGGATGACACCAGTGAAAGAAATGGAAAGCATATAGTTTATTAATAAGGAGGCCTTAATTTAATATGTAATCATTAAAGGTTGTGATTCATGTTTTCTCTGCACAGTCTTTGGTGTCTCATAAAGTAATTCCTAAGTTTCTAACTGCAAAAAGCCAGAAATGCCTGAATTCAGACCTGAATGGGAGGGAAGAAGAATCCATTATCAAACTGAGGAGAGTGAGGTACAGTGGAAAACAAAAAAGGATTTTCAGCAATCAGTTTGGGAACTAGCTGTGGTTTTTAGCATCCAGTTCTGCCCCTGTGTATTCATGCATGGGTTATTCCTGCATGTAATAAAACTTCCATGTGAAGCCAGTGTACTTTTTTCTACCTTTACTTCTTTTTTATTTTTTTTAGCTCTAGTTATCCAGAGCTTGCTTCGTGAGTTGCATTGAACTCTTAGATATGGATTACAAAATATTTTTGGAAATATTTGGAAGCTACAGCCTTGATTTGAGTAAAGAGTGAAAAATTAAGGTTGAAAAAGTCAGACTGTGTTCATACAAGCATATTTTGTTAATATTTTGTACTTAAGGAATTTAAAAGGAATTCAGTCATGAAGGCTGGCAGATAAGTTTAAAATGTGCATTACTTTACCTTATTGAGAAAGATGACTTCGGATCTGTATTTCGAATTGTACGTATATGCCTTGCAAAGTGTGCAATGGGTTTTGTTGTTGTTTTCCAAAACTTGACTTGTTTTGTGTAGTAGCAAGATAAAATCAGCTTTGCCTTTCTCTAGCTGTGTGAGGTACACGGAGAACACTGTTTAAATTGTTGTTTAAGCTTTTCAGATGTCTAGGCCTCCTCAGCATTAGTGAGTCACGGTGCAGGTGCAGTTCACAGCTGGGAACAGTGACAAAGGACAAAGTGAATCAGTTTCTTTTTCTTTTCAAATTTTCTGTAACATAGAAACACAGATGTGGAGTTACTAGGGAGTGAAATTTGGTTTCACTTTTGCCTTTCAAAACTGAACCATAGGAAAAACATCTTGGTATCAAGTATTTGAAAGTCTTATGTGTCTGACAAAAACCACAGAGTGTATTATGGGTAACATTTTGCTTTGAGTAGAAAGTGCAAGCTTGCTGAACTTGATACAAATGACCTGAAAGGTTTAAATACGAAGAAAAGGGAAAATAAAGAATGAATGAGAGTTGGAATTAAATGTTAGCTACATTCACCCGCTCCAGTTAAATGCAAGGTTGTTTCACCTAGATTTGGCAGGCACACAGATTAAACTTCAAAGATGTATCGAAGGCTTGTGGTATTTTATATGAAGCCACTTTCAGAAGTTATAGCATGTTAGAACACATGCAAAAGCATTTCCAACAGCACTGTCAGTCTGCCAGCATTGCAACCCATGTCACAGCAGTTTTTCTGTCCTTTCTGGGTACTTTTTCTTGAGGAAAGAAGACGGGCATGTAGGAGGCTTCTCTTCCATTGGTCCATGCTCATTTCTTGCTGTTGGTGATGCTTATTGCGTTTGCTGCATTCTGTACCATTGAACTTGAGTTAAACAGTCACTCCAGTTTATTGGTGGAGGTACTTGGCATCAATTACCCAGAATTTCCAGTAGTAAATTTCCATGCTAGGGTTTGAACCCCTTTATATTTAATATGGTTTTTTTATTTAATTTTTTTTTTTTGAGGAGTGCAGTTCTAACTCTTCAAACTTCAGGACACCTGCCTATCTTAAAGCATAGGAGAAGCTCTGTTGACTTCTACTAAATTAGAGTTCTTCATTTTTTGAAGTGTACCTATGTATTTTCAGAGCCTGTGTTAGAGCATGTGCATACCAGCTGGAATGTGCCATAACAAATCTGTGTTACGAAGGAGGTGTCATTTTCCAAAGCCTAGTTATAAAACATTCTCTGAGCAGATAACTAATAACTTTTGGATATACAAGTAGAAAAAGATTCTGGTTGTGATTAAGAAAGCTAGAGAATGGAATTATTTATAATCCTTTCCACATACTTCACTGCACTAATTAGATTACAAAGAAGCAACCCTCTTAAGGAAGCCAAGGAGAAACTTTCTGAGACATGTTCAGGCACCTGCAGGAATCTGCCATCCAAATGCCTGCTGTTTAGACAGAAAATCATCTTTTCTGTGGTTACAGCTTTCATGCTGTCTTCCATAGTAACACTAAGGCAGCTCAACATTACTGCAGTTTGTTTTTAAGACCTGAGTGCTGGAGAGCTCAACAACAACAACAACAAAGAACCAAAACCAAAACACCCACAAAAAAAACAAGAAGCCTTTCATAAGAAAAAAAGAGGAAAAGGAAGGAAAAATCCTGGGCTTTAAGGGGTCATCTGGGTGCACTGAGGAGCTGAAATGCCATTAAAGAAACATTGCTTTAACTTCCTCCACTCCCCACTAACACATACTGCATTTCAAAGCTGAATTTGCAGGGGGTCTGGTTTAATTTGGGAGGCTGGCAAAGTCATCTATTTGTACCGCTGGTAGTACACAGCACATGAATCACCTCATGGGCAAGCCGGATCAAATCTGGACAAACGCCTGGCAAGACAGAGCTCCTGCTGAGAGCAGTTTGCAGTTCAAAACAACAATATTCATTAGAGGATATAGATACTACAAAGTTGACTTCATCAAGTGAGAAATTCATGATGAATAAACACTAGCCTATTATTTTTTGAACTTGGAAAACCACAATTTGATAGTAGCTGGTCATTTTTTCCCTGCAGATCCTCCTTCCAGCTCTCTGTAGAACTACTCTGAGAGGAAGAAGAAATATACTCTTCCTATGCCTTTATTGCTGATAGTTTCTTCTGAGAAGCCTATTTTTGCATAATATCTAAGTATTTGTCGGCAACTTTTCCCATAAAAAAGAGTATTTCCACATCTTCTTTTGCAGTCAGTGTAAATTTACACATACTTTTAAGTCTGTTTTGGCTGTATTTCTGCTACCATTCAAGGCAAAGTGAAGGCAGTAAGATTGGGTTTAGGGCTGGTGTTCCCAAATAGAAGTACATTTTTTCCATTTAAAGCTCTCCACAGTGGTTGGTATTGGTGATAGAATTCTTCATTTTCTTATGAGAAGCTTTCCACTTCTCAGAGAGATGAGTCCTCTTTCTCATACCATTTTATGGCAATGTCAGGGCTCTGAGTGTGGTAAAAAGCTTAATGCCTCTGACCAGCCACACCTGAGGTCACGCCCAACACCCACAGCCCAGGGCCTCTATTTAGGCTCAGCCCTGGGTACTTATTTCCTGCCTGAGCTATGCTGGAGGAGAACTGATCTCCAGCTCAGCCGTGGTCTGTAGCTCAACCTCTTCCCTACTCAACCTAAGACTTAGCTCATCACCTTGATATTGCTGTATGATTTAGGCTCTTTGTTGGACATAGCCACTGTCTGTGAGTCTATCCTGCTGTGGGGCTGGGCCCTAACTGTGGGATTCCCTTGGCTTGCCTTGGGATCCCTCCTTGGAATCACCTTCTACTGGGGAGCAAGCTCCAACTTCTGTTGGAGTTTGTTACATTACAGACCCTTCTGATGGACCAGCCTTCACCTGGACTCTGATCCTCCCACAGCACCAACCCTTTACTGACCACTGGGCTCCTAATGAATTCTCTTCCAGCCTGCTGGGGCTCATCAGAAACAGCCCAAAACCTCTGTCCCACTCAGGCCCTCCTTGCCTTTGTGGCTTTTCAGCTGTGGCCTGATGCCCCCATAGTGATTTAGCCACTCTACAGCTAGTCCCTACTGATCCCACACCTGTGTGAGGACATGCCTTGCTGAGAGGAGAGGCTGTTATCATGGCCCTGAGGGCACTAATTGGCCTAATGGCCCTGACTGGCATCACTTGTGGCTTCCACCCACAGGGGATTTATTTAAGCTCAGTGGCCTGCTGGAGGAAAGGTGGTCTTTAGCTCAGCTGCAGCTATGCCTGGTTATGGAGTCCCTAGATCCTGACTTCAACATGCGGGCTCATGTCTTGGCTTTGCCTTATCCCTGTGGGCCCACATGCTGACCACTGGACCTGATCTGAACCCTGACCTGTGGAGGCTTGATGTTGGACCTGCCTTGTTGCTGTGATATTGCCTTATGATTTGGATTCTTGGTTGGACCTGGCTGCTCTTTCTGCATCTGTTTTGCTTGGGTGCTGTGGGACTGGGTTCTGACTGGGGAGGCACTGCCCTGCTGGCTGTGTTATCTCCCTCACCTCTGGGCTCCCCATCCCTTAGGGAGTATCTGGCCTTTGCTGCACGCTGGTAAGCAATGAGGAGATCCAGGTAGAGTAATATGATGCATCCTGTGGCTTAAACACAATTTCGAGTGGCAAAGAACTGTACTTACAGGGGAGGATAAAAAAGCTGAACATGGGGCTGAGCTATATTTAGGTCAGGTCTACTGGCATATTTACTCTGGGAGAGTCATGTAATGGTTGTGTGTGCCTCCTCTTGCTATGAAGATTCAGCTGGGATGGTGTTAGTTCTGTTCCTTTTCCTTCCCGCTGGAGCAGGGCACAGCTTACCATACTGCAGCTAGTGTCTCTGCCTGGCTGTGAAGTTTGGCAGATGCCTGTGCACTGGTTGTGTGCAAGTCAGTGCTTTCGAGGCTTTTTATCTCAACCCTGTGGTACTACATTTTAAAAGCAAAAGCAGAAAAACTGTAAGCCTATGGTTTCAAGTCCACAGGGCCAATCCTTGCAGTTCTGGGAGGGTGGAAGCAGCCAGCTACAAACGGTGAGAACAGGCATCTTGGGTCCAGACTGCTATCGTTTCCAAAACAGTGGCCAGTTGTGAATGGCTGCTGAAGAATGTAAAAACAGGATAAACCTGCAGTGACGTTTAGTGTACTCCTATGGTTTAAATATGCACAAATCCAAATGCTGTTGGTCTATGTGTATCTCCTGATACTTCTACTTTTTCTTTTTTTTTCTGCTTTTGGGGAAAAAAATTACTGCATTGCAATGATTCAAATGTTTCTTTCTGGCCCAGGTAACAGTCACAACAATTGGTTATGGAGACAAAGTTCCCCAGACATGGATTGGGAAGACAATAGCTTCCTGTTTTTCAGTATTTGCTATATCTTTCTTTGCTCTGCCAGCGGTAAGTAGAACTTGGATCATTGTATTAAAGTGTTTGTCTGACTTGGGCTCATCTTTAGGTAGTTTTAAATTGGTGCCTTTGATAGGAAATAATGGGGTTGGGTGTTGCTTCAGAATGTGCACACATCCTCAAATGTATGTGTGTCTGTGCACACACACAAATGTATGAAGCTGATGTATCTTCATTGCAGTCGCTTTAGAGCGATGTGGCCTAGAAAGGATGTAAGAATAGTTTTCAGTGCTTGGAGAACTGAAGCTATTCTGTGAAGTAAAGAGAGGGGTTTTTTATCAGTGTTTCAGTGCCAGAAGTGAAACTTCCTTCTTTTTTGCTAGTTTGTGATTATATAAGAACAGTTTGGGGTCCTGTGGGGAGAGGAACACTGACATGAGGCATAGGTCTAGGAAACTGTATCTGCTTTCCTACATGGTACTATAAAGCGTCTTTGGGCTTTTTGGATCTTAAAGTAAATGAATAGGGGAAAAATAGACTACAACATAAAAAAAATCAGAAAAGACCAAGTATTTCTTCAGTAACTATTGGTTTTAACAGAACTGCTGAAATTACAAAGCAGATCTTTGGCTTCTTTGCTCAGTTTGCCTGGAAAATCAAACTGGGTTCTGGCTTTTAGTTGTAGGGTTTTTTTGTGGCAATAAATTAAAAAGTGTGAAGAATAGCTGTAGATCAGTCATGTGACATGGGCATTTGCTTCTTCCACCATCATGTAGGGTTGCCTCCAGAACGTAACTGCCTCTGTGAATGTCTCTGATGTTACCTGTAGATCACAGCAATAAACACATGCTGTTTATTGAAGTTAAATGATGTGACTATCAATGTGCTTGATTTCAGATTTATTTGTTGGAATAAGTAGAATTCTGTCACTGTGGATCTTCGAAAATTCAGATTATTATTTTTTTTTCCCAAGGAAGGACTTTTATAAATGTCTGTTTATTTCGGGAATAAGTAGAATTCTGTCACTGTGGATCTTTGAAAATTCAGATTATTTTTTTTTTTTTCCCAAGGAAGGACTTTTAAATGTCTGTTTATTTCATATGCTAAGTATTTCATTTAGGCATGTGAAGCCAGGCTGGATTCGGACTAGTAATTTTGATTGTATTTAGGGTATTCTGGGGTCTGGTTTTGCCCTGAAAGTACAGCAGAAGCAACGTCAGAAGCATTTCAACAGACAAATACCAGCTGCAGCTTCTCTAATTCAGGTAAGGCCCCTAACAGTACAATGCTTAAAGTGTTGCAGAGGAACTATAGCCTAGTAGTTAAAATACTGAGCATCACAGTTACTAGATCTTATTATAAATCTGTAACTTGTGTTTAACCACTCTGTCTTTTTGATCTACTTCGGTCACTAGCGAGAATTAGTTAACTGCCTGCCCCCCCCTCTTATGAGTGAGCATTGGAGCCTTTAGTAACCTGATATTCACAGACATAATTACACTAACTGAATGCAGTGAGTCTATTTGGTTAAATAGTAAAAAAAAATAAAAATCTTTGTTATAATCTCTAATTCCTAACTTCCTTTCTATATTCCCTTAGGTCCTGTGCATCTGCCAGATCCTGAGGTGATGAATATACACACCTCAGTTTAGAAAAATGTCCCAGCATAACTTTCTATATGATAATATAAAGAATGCAATAGCATGGTGCAGAAATACTAAAATGTGGCACACTGCACAAAAAGGGAAATAACAGTATTGTATGATGCTTGTGGGTATTCACTTTTATGAGGGTCGTTTTTGCTTTGGTCCTTTTTCGTTGGTTTTTTTTTAACTATGGGCAGGGTTAGACCTCTGTTCTAGGGAGAAGGCTGCAAAGAGTATACTCAAGGCCAATGTGTGCTGAGTGTATGGTTCCTGGTGCAAATTACAGTCACCACAGTTGTATACAGGGGAAAGTGCACTTCATTAAGTACAGTGGTGTGTAGTATAGCACAGTGACTGCAGTTAGAACCCTTTGCAGCATGTTTATATTGAAGATTTTGCTGTCTGATTTGCGGAAAAATCTGACATATCTGTCCTGCAGGACAATAGCTGATTATCACCGAGATTATTGGTTTTTGGTTTTATTATAGACTCTGTGGCGGTGCTATGCAGCAGAGAAATCCTGCAGTTCTACAGCAACATGGAAGATCTACGTTACATCACCGGTGCAAAATCCCAAAAAACCGCCAGCGCCATCTAGCCCTAGTCTGAGAAAACAGGTAAGAGAGAGTTAGCAGAGGTGTCTTCTGGTTTTGCTTTTAATTTGATTGGGGTATCTTGCCAAAAACCTTATGAAGCCTCCAAAGAGTTTGGGGAGATGAGAGGCATTTGTAATGGGACATTCATTTGATTGTTTTCCTCATGACACAGCATGATTAGTTTCGTTTTTCTTAAAATATTTCTAAGGGACAAATGTCTTCTAATTTTAAAGTTGTCCTGGTGGTCAGACAAGTGACAATTCTCCACTGTTTTATCCCCGTTGAAGTCTCCTCTACCTTCTCAAAGGGTAGTGTAAGTCAGTGATGACACTTTCCCATTTTGCTTAGTGGTTCATACAGAAAGAAAGGAGAAAGGTAGTTAAATTTATGCTCAGATTCATAATGTGGCTGACAGTATCTATGCTATTTCTCTATGCTCTTCTTGTTCAAGTGCTTCTCTCCATGGTTACTTTTATTTGGGGCTGTGTGTAGAAATTTTGGCAAATTCCTGAGCTGTGGCTGCAATAAAGTGGAATAGTGTTTGTCTACACAGGTGGGATTGCCTAAACATAGTTACGTAGTTTCATTGGCAAGCTTGCCTAATTTTCATCACCCCTTCTAGATAGGCCCAGGTCTGCAGCAGGTCTACCCAGGGTTTCTAAAGTGATGTTAAAGGCCTGGTTTTGGGCAGTGAAATCCCACTGATGCCTGTTGCCCAGCAAAGAGTTGCAGCGCAATTTCCTCACAGCACATGTAGAAAGCTCTGTCAGCATGATGTGTATGCATGTATATGCTTTGGTGTTACAGCAGAGTGATCTACTCAGTGATTTCCCTAATATATTATTAAGCCTGAAATTCCCTGTGAACTGTTAACCCTAATTCAAGATCATAGTAATGGTTCTTCCATCTCTTACCAATGAATCATCAACTTCTCTTGTCAAAGGAGACTAGTTTGTTCTTTCTTTACCTAGACTTAAATGTATATTGATCATCTTGTGCATGCTGTAGCATTTTGTTCTCCAGAAAATTCTTAGTTTCTTCTCCTGCTATGGAGCCTTTAGGAACATCGTGATGCATGGTAGTGCATCCACTGTCTACAATAAAAGCCCATTTCTACCATATTTTTGTGCCCTAGGTGACTAATTTTGGACATGCTTTTGTTTAATTGCTGCAGAGCTGAACAGAATGAATTCCAAAAGACTGAATGCAGACTAATAAAATAACAATTGGGTTACTTATACCAAGCAGCATTGTATTCTTTGTGAATATATTGAGCCTGCAGCTGTTTGTGTTGATATGTGCAAATACTTGTTCTCTCTGATGCTTAAGTCTACTAACTGCTTAGTGGTCACGTCAGAGGCCAGAGTATTTTGCAGAATTGAATGCAGTAGCCTGAGATCTCGGCTCCTTGTCAGAAGGTTACTCGAGCATTGGGCAAACTACAGTATGCCTCTTGCGTCTGTTTTGAGGTGTGTGAGTAGTAGAACCAGGTGGGACTAGAGCCAAAGGGTAGATAGTCACGAAGACTGGAAATAAATGCTATGTTGTGAAAAGTAGTAGTTATATAGCTAGGTGGCGGCAGGATCCAGGAAGCAGACAGTACAGGCTGTGTGTCGGTATATCAGTGGCTGTTATGTTGGTCACTTCTAGTCACAAAGGCAGATGGAGACCAGCCTTGCTTGGAACAAGTTGAATTGAAACCTTCATTTTTCATTCTTGCGTAACAATTGTAGGGTCTTTATTAAGCTGCCTCTTAGGCTTCTAAAATCAGAACTTCAACTTTGGAGGCAGGGGAAGGTTTTATCTTCTGATAGGCCTTTTTGATAAAAGGTGAAACTTTCTTTAGTTGAAAAGGCTGCACAGTGCCTAGCTCATAATTCAAAGTCTATGGTTATGTTCGATTAGAGCTTTAGAAAGGTATTATAGCCAAGCAGTTGTATACTCAAGTGATTAATATTTTGGATGCCTTGAGTTTTGGACTCCATTTGAGACATTTTATTTGAGACTTGATTTCCAGAATGTGCTAGGCATCTTCCTCTGAATGAAATTCTTACCAGATTTGTTAATTCAGAATCAGCTGCTTTGAAAACATTAACCAAGGTTGTAACACTTTCACTGAATTTCAACTTTATTCTTTAAAAAAAATACAACCTCAAATGAATTTACTATATAGTATTCACATGTGTACTTTTCTTTTTTTGATAGTATCTTCTAATATAATCCCATTTCTACTACCACAGGCTAGAAGATACAAAAGAAAAGGGAAACTAGGCTGTGGTAACGGTTCTGCACCTGTAATAAACCCAGGAGAGAATGCCTTGTCTATTCCACAGATCACTTATGATCACATTGATGAACAAGACGACAAAAAAGATGTGTCTTTCTACATTGATGAACCAGGAGGTAATTTACTTATGTTCAGCATTTTTTTAAGAGACAATGTCAAAGTGAATTGAACTGATGAAGGGAAAATGTCAATGGAAAAAAAATAACTTTAAATTTATCAGTAAAGCAAAACGCCTCAAACCAAGGACAATTACATAACAAAAACAAGGGGATACAAATTGAAGGAAATCTTTAGTTTCATGCGGTGTAAGCATCAAAAAAGCTTTATTTGTTTACCAAAGTTAACTCAATTAAGATCTTGGATGTATTGTTAATTCTACTTTTTGAAATTATCTGAGAGGCAGATAGAAAGCTTCCTCAGGTCTATCCCGCCTTTAAACTTTGCCTCACATAGAGCCTGAAGGAAGGAAAATAAAACAAGAGAAATATATTTACTCTTTTATATCACCCACTTAAACACTGTGCAAATAAATTGTGATAGGAAGAGCTAAATATTTTTATGCCTACACCAACCAAGAGGTTTTGATAAAATAAATTTAATTTAAAATATTATGTGTTGTTATAAGTGACTGTTGTATTTCCAACTGGAAACTGACTGAATTTCCCTGCTAAGCTAAGATATGCTTTGTCTGTAAATTCATTTTTTAAATTAAGTTTGAAGCGGAAATGTGGCTGTGAAATAGTATTGCTTACTGTAAAGTGAGGGTTTTTTTTGAAAGCTAATTTTCCCACCTTTGTGTTGGTTTCCTTTGTCTGATGGGGTTGGGGAAACTTGTGCTAATTTGGTATCTGCTAAATATTTAGCTCAAGGGGAGATTGTTTCCTCCTAGTCTGAGGAGTTATGTTCCATAGCTAGAGGCATGCAAAGTCTTGCCAAGTTAACTGAGGTATCCAAAGATTCTGGTGTAGTCAAATGTATGTTATCGTGTGATGCTTTGACTTAGGTTTTCATTTGTCTTTGAACCTGAACATCAACTCTGTATAAAATTGCTGCTCTTATGTGACATTGAAGCTGACACCCAATTTTGGCCTGGAGAGAGTATGGCTGTAGTCTTGACATGATGGTTTCTTTAAAAAGTACTTTAAATAGTTTTGCCCCTAGAAGGAATATGTAGTGTCATCTGTGTTCAGTGCAATCAAAGGTAAGAGTTTCACTGGGTTGCCCTGACTTTACAGAGTTGCTAGATTGTATTGTCAATGCAACCTATGTCATCCATGCTAGAGCAGTCAGTCAGATGTGGAATAGCAGGGATCTGAGAGCTGTGGCCTATTGAGGCCTATTTGTAAGGGGTAGGAACATCTGGCTCCCACAGGGATTTAAAGACGTTCAAGCCTCTGCTTCATGCAACTGATAGCCATGAACTGCCATTGTGGGAGGAAGAGTTTTTCTTCCACTGAAGGAGCTTTTCATTACCCTTCATGTTCTTCCTTGTGTTTTATAGTCTTATATAAATCTCGTATCTGTCACTTTAATGTCAGAATGCTTTTCATCAATGGTGGTAATTTGATTGGTTTTTGGCATTTTCAGTGCTTTTGTAGAGTTCTGGGAAAGGGAATGAAGGGTGTGATTTGATAAATAAAGTTGCTACTTTAACTACGTGTCTCTTAACACAATACTACGTTCATTCTTAGCAAGTTTATTAGAGCTGTGCAGCTTCCCTTGCTGACTGTGTAATAGCAGACTGTCAAGTTTATTTTGATACTGTGGTATCAGTCAGTGATGGACAGAAGCAGCAAAGTGTTGTGTAATTTGTAACAGTACTGAAGACAGTTAGGGTGTTGAGGAATATGTTGTCTGTATTCATGACTCTGCCAGTGCACATTTATTCAATTAAGCTATGTTCCTTAAAAGTTCATAGTCAGAGCAAAGCTCTGTGCATCAGAAGAAAAAGATTGAAAAGGCACGCCTGTATCTTTTTTTTGCCTGACAGCTTGGTAACAGAGGAAAATGAAAGCTCTTTTCCACTTTTTCTGAAAATGTTTTCTTGTTGTACTTTTATAGATAGTCTAATTTATTCTTATTCTGGGAGACAGCTATGCATATTATTCCCTTACCAATTAGGTTTTATCTATTTCATTTTCTTTCACATTTTGCCTTAGCTAGTGTCAGGGGTAAGTCACACTTCATTTGATTTTTTTTTTTCTGATTCATTCCTTCTGTTGCAAAGCTTCCAGGAATGTAGTTGGCCAACTTGAATGCTCAATTGACTGAACATTCTTGACACCTCTCAAAAGTTTAAACCTGATTTCTCTTAGTGAAATTCTTCTTGCCAGAATTAATAGGCTTCTATCCTTGGGAAGTGGAACTACTAGGCTTCAAGCCTGTAAATAGGGGTATTTTTTTCCTCTCTTAAAAAGCTGAAAGTAGAAAAGGCAGAGAAAATAACAAAAAAAGGCATTTGAAAAGGGCCATGCCAGCTTCTATTTCAGTGTTGCTATAGTGGAATATTTTATTCATTGGTTGTGGGGCCTGGATGTTTTACAGATGATGGCAGACTTCAAGGTTGAATTAGATCACTTTTATAGGCCTGACCTAGGAGGAGCAGAGCTGTTGCTTTAAAACAGCTCTTCTAGTCTGCCGCTCTGGTCAGATGTGAGAGAGACTGTAGTGAGACCTGAAATAAATGCCTGTCAAGTGCAGGCAACAGAATATCAGTTCAACTAAGAAAATTTCTTGTTCTGGGCAGAAACAGACTGAATTACATTAAATTTTCCTTGATAAAGGAGAGATTTACCTTAATTCAGGAACTGCATTGTGTGAGCATATCTTTTTTTCATGAAAATAAGGTTTTTCTTAGGATATCCTGTTCATACATCTATGTCCACCCAGCATCCTGTTGGCTTGCTCAAAAGTTGCTTAGGAGGCATAAACTAGGCAAATATGCTTTCCTCTTCTATACGAAGGTTTGAGAAAAGGGAAGCCTTATGGAGCCTTATAAAGCCTATAGATATGATCAACATGAAGGTTTCTGAGATGCTTTTGTATAAGTAACAAGAAACATGTATTGGGTAATGCCTAATATAGAAATTAAATCTTTACAGACAATAAGTGATGGAATCTTGAAATAAACACTTGATAACCTGAAAGGTAAAGAGTTTTTGACTTAGTTCAGCACCATGCATGGGGTTTCAGGTGTGACTAACAGAGTGCTCTGTAACCCTAAGAACTTGACCATCCTTGCAGAAATAAAAAAGCCAAAAGTCTTCTGCAATAATAGTTTCCTTTTTTGAAGTAAAACTTCTCGAAATGAGGAAGCTATTTAGAAAGAAGTTAAAAAGGAACAGCTAAAGAAAACATGGATTGAAAAGAAACAATTTTGGAAAATAACTGTGGTGCCAAAGATACTCTAGTGCAATATATTTTCATGGATATCTGTTGCTTCTACTGAGGCACTCTTTCATACCAAGGTGTATGGTTTAAGTTTTTCATTTAGTGCTTTAAAACCCTCAGTGATTTCATCCTCACCTGAGACTATAGCCGTAATTGTTCTCTATAGTCTTGAAATTGATCTTTACCTGCACTTCTGTCAACCATAGCGTACATACTCCCCTGCAACAGGGTCTGTTATCAGGATGACAAGACACATATGAACTGTCCAGCAACTTTAATATTCCTGTAAGATTTAAAGAACACACTTAAGTATCAAGAAGGTAGTTGCTTATGATAGCAGGATGAGTGGCAGGTCATAAATATGGATCCAAATAGAAGAAAACCAAAAAATGTTTGAGTGTAACCGAAATCTTTTACATGCACTTGAGCTTCATCTTCAAATAACAGCTATTCACCATGATGTATGCTTCTCAATGAACAGAATAGCTGTCTCATAATGCTTTTTATGAGGGAGGAAAAAATTATTAAAAAAGTGAAAGTTTTTGGACCTTGAAGGTCAGCCTCCTGGGACATCTCCAGCAGATGGGATATATTATTCTGTCAGTTATTGTAGGTTGTGTACACAACTCATTATTGTAAAATTTGTCAAAGTCACAAGACTCTCACAGTGATGAATCTCTGCTGGGGTGAAAATAAAATTCCTTATTTATCACTATGCTTTCCTGTTTCCTCTTTGGAGTTTCTTGCATGCTGACATATTTCCCCCCCCATTTAAAGCAAAACTACATGAGAGTAACTTTTCACCAGGAAGGGGGAGAGAACTGTAATTTTTCAATGACCCCCAGAATACCTTTGTGAGCCCTCTCATATAAAGTGTGTAATAGTGTTACTGTTGATTTATTCTGTCTGTAATGCTAGTTTGGATGCTGACATTCCAGAATTCACCTATCTAGTAATGGGTTGGTTGTTCCTTGAAACTGGTTGCATTTCCATGGGGAAAAAGGGCTGCTTTCCCTCAGTGGTGTAGATGGATTACAATCTGCAGTACATATAAAGAAGCAAACATTTTAAATGAAATGGATTCATAGATTCCAGTGCTGACAAGCTGAGTGAAAGGTGAGAAAAAACATGTGGCTAAAATTAGCAGAATAAAGCAAACACTAAAACTTTTGAGGGTCTGCATAACTGTCAGTAAGTCAGAAAAGCATAAATATAAAGATATACTCCAAATGAGTGAGAGAAAGTATCCAGATACCAAGCTTCTGAAAAAGGTCATACGCTCAAGAAGGTGGTTTAGTAGATGCTGGTGGTTTGGCAGTGAGGATCTGTGTCCAGCATAGGGCTGTTTAACTTCCAAACTTGTCAGTTGGTTCAGGACTTGTAGGTACTAATGGTACTTCTCTGTGAGTAAGAATTGTGGAAACATACCTGTATGCTTCTACCAGATAGTTTTCAGTCTTTGCTGTTTCATTCCTGGCTGTCCTGTGTGAGAACATTCAGTGAATTCTGTGGTTTACCTTGCATGACCATGGATAGTAGAACTAGGGGTGGGGGGGTTGTGTAAGGGAGATGGAGACTGAGAAGAAAACAGCTGCCTCTGCCAAACTGACTCTTACTTCTGATTAAATCTGTCAGCTTTCGAGGTTTAAAAAAAATTATTTTTGTTCTGTGTTTATTCAACTCCCTGTTCTGCCTGATTTAGGACCAGAGTTTCAACCGCTAGTCA